TAAATTGGTTAGTGTCCTTTTATTACCGGTTGAGCGTTTCTTTTTAACTAAAACGACTTTCTTCAAGAGGGTATTTTGTCCAAATCACATATTGAAGTAACTATGTTAAGGGGGTCTACTGATAGAAGTGTAAAACATTATAGGAGTTTTTATAAGACACGCTATAGTTAAAGGGTGTTTTCTAAAATAGCACCAAAATTGATAGAGGTTATTTATAACCAATGTTACATTAAACGCTGGGCACTTCTAGGCGTTGGACTTAGCGCCCAACGCTTAGTCGTCTAGGCGGGCGTCTAAGCGGTTTCTGGGCGTTTTTTTTCTTTTTTCATTTAAGTGGTGATCGATGAGGTTTTGCTGAAGGTCGGAGGAGGTAGTGAAGGTGTTCATATTTGGAGGTTAATAGAGTTTGGAGAACGTGTAGGCTACGACACATAAAATCATAATCAAGGCCTACAGAGTGCAATCCATGTAAGCAGACAATGCTCACCTAAACGCTCGTAATATCTAGGTGGGCAGCCTAAATCCCGCCTAGACGCTAGGCGCTAGTTAGGCGGCCTAGGTACCGTCTAGGCCTAGGTGTACGCCTAAGCGGACTAGGCAGAGGTTTTTTAAAACAGTGTTTATAACACCCCAATAATAAAGGGTTTTATTAAATTGAACCAGTTAAGTGGGTTTTTGACACAATCCCCATAGTTAAGACGGTTTTTAAAAAAATTAACTCTTCTTTTAAATATGGTTTATTTATAATTTGTCTCTTAAAATTTTACTAATTTAATGTTAGTCCCTAAAATTATGAGCACTTTCAAAATTTTGAGGGAATAACATACAATTATTGGATACTTAAAATCAAAGGACTAATATCTAAATAAATTTCACATATTTGCTCGTATAGGCATTGTATTAAACATCAGTTGATATATTACTATATCGGCCGATATATCGGGTTAAAGACTTTATCTCGATAAAATTTTATATTATTTTCTTTTATTTGGTGATTTTTTTTGATATAAACAACAAGTGTATCACCGAAGACCTAAGCTTTTAGAAAAAAAATTTAATAATATACTCAAATATGTCAAACCTTAACATGACATTACAATGATTTCTAAATAGAAGTTTTTGAAGGAAAAACAAAAATAAAATAATTCAACTTGGTTGATTCAAACTAGTAACCTAAAGAATCACCTATGGCCAACTATGATCTACTACATCAACTATGTTAAGGTTAGATTGTAATCAATCTTTTAAATATTCTTAATAACTATAACTAACTAGCTAAATGACACAAAAACACCTTGTCCTAGGCCAGGCCCAAGAGACAGGTATCGGCGAAGGCACCCGGATGAGGGCCCGGAACCTGGGTAGGCTCGGATTTCAGGGCTTTTCCCAGGCTTGGTCTAGGTTTTCGCCCGGGTGAGCACGGGACAGGTTTGGGGCTGGGTCCGGGTTTCGAGCTTTTTGGACCACCCTCGTATATGAGGGCATAGTTGGAAATAAATTTAAGAGTTGAGGGACATAAGAGTAACTTAAATCATTTGCTGGACTAATTCCAGAATACGAAAGATGCAGTAAAAGGCGACTGGAATGTTTGAAAAGCCCAGGAGAGTTCATTTTCATTCTCGTCGCGCTTTATGCGTCGGAGCTCTCGACGGTGAAGGGGCTTCAACCCCCAAACCGTAGCTCGTTGAGGGCGGCAGAATCCAATCAGAATCTCAATCGGACGCTCTCTAGGTAAAATGTTCTTCTAATTTATTAAGGGGGGTTAAAAAACTATACCCTTCTTCTTCTTTTTTGCAAATCACGGAAATTTCCATGGCAAGGGTTTATTCAACATTAGTCCTTAGATATTGCCGCTTTTGAAATTAATCCCTCAAATCCTCGACATCACAGACCGATTTTTCAAATTAATCCATCAAATCATGGAAATTGCAGACATGGTGAACAAAAAGAACCCTAACCCATCACACGACGAAGAAGACCAAAGCGAGAAACAAGAAAGCACTAGAACGAGGAAGAATAAGAATCGGGTATTTCAATTTTTTTCTTTTCAAATTTCAATAAATTAATCCTGATTGTTGTAGTTTGACGTTAAAATTAAACATTTGTGTCCAAAGTCGCTTCCAATTGACGTTGTGGCCGTCATACTATCAAGACTACCCGCAAAAGATGTTGCGAAATTCCGCTGCGTCTGCAAGGAGTGGTTTTATCTAACTCATGATCCTTGTTTCTTGAAATCACTGCGCGAGAGATCTTCGAGCTACATAATTATCAGCAAGTATGTTGTTGGTGGTAGCATCAACCTGTGTGATTTCAGCAATGCTGATGTGAAAAAACCAACAATGAGTACATGCAGATTAAATCTGGGGAGGAAGTATTACATGTTGTCGAATTTTGTTGATGGCTTGACTTGTGCTTATGCGGCTACCAGTAAATCCCGTGTATACTTGTTGAATCCTATGACTCGGGAGCTTCAAGAAGCTTCCAAGAAGAGCGGTTGTCATGAAAGGCATTCTAGAGGAAAGTTTTGGTCTTGGTATTGACATGGTTACGGGAAGATACAAGGTAGTTAGATTAGTTTCTCATCCTGCAAGTCAATGTTTTTACTGCGAGATATACAGTGTGGGGACTACGAGATGGAGGTGTCTTGGTGAAGCACCTTTTAATATTCGCTACCACTCTGATCCAGTTTTCTTTAATGGAGCCATACATTGGCTTGGAGTAACAAGAGGCTGTAATCAACAACAACCGAGTGTTTTCAGGTTCGATATCAAAGACGAGAAGTTTGGATCAATGATATCAACCCCAAATCCCTCGTTCTATATGCACTTGTATTGTTTGAAGGAGTGTGGTGGGAAGCTTTGGCTTGTATTCTATAACTCAGTCGAACTTTACTATGAGATGTGGACTAGGAAGGATTATTTGAATGATACATGGGTGAAAGAATATACGTTCCCTACTAGCAACATTCCAAGATTCCTCATGGGTCATAATGTTACAGACATTGTAGACGGTGAGATCCACTTTACATTCTGTGAAGACGGAAAATGGCATGTCATTTCTTATAATCCTCGTAGTGGAGCTTTTCGCGAGCTCTTTGTGGGAGGAGAGCATGGAGATCTTGCTTTCTACAAGGAAAGCCTTATTTCGCCGAAGAAGTTGTCAATGTATCTCAGAAATGTATAAAATAGAATGGAATGGAGGCGTTTAATGCATTGAATGTGTTTGAAGTATTTGTCATGATGTAGACGTAAAGCACCAGAGGAATGGAACATTTTTGCCGATCTTGTATAGAACTTTTCATTTCATATTCTCACCAGAGCAATGAAACATTGTCTATAACTTGCAGCTTTTTGCATTATATATTGAATTTCTTGTTCGTGCCTGTAGGATTGCTCAGCTTTTAAGAGTTTCCTGTCATCTATCTATAAAAAAGATCACGCATAGGGAAGGTGTGGAGTCATTTATTTGATGAATTATTGTTCATTGTTAGTTTTGAAAGTCATAACATCCATCTTCTTGGCGTTATGCGCAAGAGGTCGGGGACAATTTATGTGCTTGGTTGGTCACTTTTCGTATTTGAATTTTGTTTTGCTCTCTGGGGATTAGCCTCTCACCTCCTCGTGCATAAAGGTCAATTTTGGACATAAAGGTCAAACTTTTCACTTTGATACCTCACAAAGCATTTATTTTAATAATTTGATGCCCAAAGTTTCTATCCTATTTCACTTTTATATCTCTGCTCATGTTCTATTTGATTTTCTATACACATTTGGGTTCATTTTACTTGGGATCAAAGTAACCAGATGTTCCAAGAATCAACCGGGGTATCACATGCGATTCACATGATAGAGAGTTAACAAAAAATCTGACATGATTCGGATGGGAGTATCAGAGGGGCTGGTTGGTTCATGGATTAATTTGATGTATGTTGTGGATCTATAAGAATCCATAATCTTGTTTGTTTGCATGCATATTGAAGAGGATTTGATGAATGACAAATCCAAGCGAAAAAGTCTTGTTTGGTTGAACATAAATTTGAATTGATGCATTAATTCTATGTGGCAACTCCAATTTGTGATAAAAAAAAATGCTAACTAAACAATGTGTTTAGTATAAATTCAACATATTGGTTTTTTAGGTCGCATTCTTCAATGCAAAGTTGCAAAATCCAAGAAAATAAATAGCCGTAGAGTGAAATGTGTTGGAATGCTAAAGTGTCAAAGTGGTAAGGAACACTTTGGGGGTATCAGAGTGAAAAAAAATGAGTAAAGTTTGAGTTACCAAAGTAAGCCTTGTTAATTGATCTCTAATGGGTTTTTATTAGGTGTGCATTCAGTCTCGATAATGCTCGGATATGATACTTATCATTTCCATATCCGTTTACCCGTCATGGATATGGATATGGATATAGATATACCTCGATAAGAAAAATATAGTTCATGTCTACAAGAGAGTTCATAAATATGTTCATTAATATTTGAAACACTACGATTGGATATCTTAATTATCAAAATTAACCTCCAATAGATTAATCTAAGGATTAAAATGTTGTAACTATATCACCAATATGTATTCAGATATTTTGAATATAACTCTGGATATATCACTACATAACCATATTTGCAAGCCTTATCCTACCAATTATAGATTTTAATAACCATATCTGATCATAAAGGATACAAATATAGATAATTTCTAGGATATGAATATCTTTGTGTACCCCTTAGTTTTAATGCTTGACTGTGTATTTTGTTTTATTAGTTTAATCATAAGGGGCTGTTTGGTTCGTTTCCTTGATATAGAGAAATGCAATTCCATGTAAATAAACACAAGTTTTGAGTTTTCCAAACTTTTCCAAGAAATAGATTGTTTTGCTTTGGTTCGCACATAAAAAATAGTGGGAAACCAATGTATTTATTTTTCTTGTGTTTGGTTCGCATAGAAAAAAAAGGGAAATTTTTGTAAACAAAGCAGAGAAGGAAAAAAATCTGACGTGGCAGAGTTTTCATCAATTTCACTTGGTTGGGGAAGGAAATCGGAGAGGGAAAAAAATCTTAGTTGGCGGCGATTTCAGCAGAGTTTTCCCTCTTCCATTCGAGCGAACCAAAGCGGCACAAAGAAATAGACGGAAACAAAAAAGCTGACGTGGAAGGCTAAAAATCTGACGTGGAGGGGTTTTCTGAGTTTTCCACCCCTTATAATAGCGAACCAAGATGAAAAGTTGGATGAAATATGCATTTGTTTGTATTATCTATCCATATATTCTTAGCAATTCATAATGATCGTTCTAAAGGGATAATTGCAAAGACTAATTAGCCACATATGGAACTAAATTAAAGAAGACTGAGAAGGAGATATATAGAGTACACAGAGAATAATTTCAAAATAATTTGTGAACTGGGGGCCTAATAGCAGTTTCAATGACATGAGGCCCCATTTGGCAACAAAAAGATCTCCTCTGAGTTTACCGTCATCTTCTCCTCCCTCGACCATCCCCTCTCCTCCTCTAAACTCTTGCACATGATAACTGAGACTGTCATCTTCTTTGTTAAACTCCCTCTCCCCCCCCTCATTGTCGCCAACTCCACCGTCCATCTTTGCACCGAGCAAACTCACATCCTCAAAACTGCCTACGATCTTCTCTCCTCTCCCCCACCACCATTTCTCTCAAACAAATCGCATGATGGGATTATGTGATTTTACTTCTTAGTGATAGATTGGAGCTTGCTCGGTTTATTTTTAATTGAAATGGATGAGTAAGATTAGATTTCTTAGAGTAATATGTTAAATGGATATATGATATGTACCACTTCAAAGATTGCTTGTAAAGTGTTTGATGAAACCCTAAAGAGAAATGTGGCTTCATGGACTATGATAATAACAAGTCGTGTATAAAGAAGATGTTATGGAGATCTCATTGTATAGTTGTGCATACGTAAATGTCAAAATTACATAAACTTATAATTGTATGAGTTGATTGTGAACTATGAAAGATTGGCTGTAAATCTTTCCTATTTGATGTTAACTCTACTCATTGAATGCTAAGTTTATAGGATAACTGTTAAGTTTATATAGTAAATATTAATTTTGAATGTTGGTTGTTAAGTTTACCCATTGATTATTATCAAATAGAGGGAAACATCATGGAGATCTCATGATGTTATTGATAATCTGGCATACATGTTAAGATCATGATGTACCTATTAAGGTTCTAATCTATCTGTTAATATTAGGTCGTACCTGTTAGGGCAATAATATACATATTAATGTTATAATATATATGTGAAGGTTATGACATACATGTTAATCTTATCACGTATCTATTAAAGTTATGTCATATCTATTAATGTTTTAGTGTTCCTATTAAGATTATGGTGTACCTATTAAAGCTATATTATAACTATTAAAAATGATAATTTTTAGAGTATGTTTAACTATTATTAACTATTTTTTTATAATTTAATGTTTTTAACTCGCTATTTTGTTTTTATCTCTTGCCATCATCAAAGAAAACCCATTAACGTTGGATGATTATCTAATAACCTCCCATAACTTTTAAAATATCATAAACCCTCCCCCTAAAGTTTAGGGTTTATTAGAAAATGTCATTAAATTAAAATTTTAAGATATTTAGCAATTGCATGCTATATTTACTCGTTGTACGTTAAGTTTATAGCACACTGTTCAATTTATACAGAGCATGTTAATATGGAACATTGGCTGTTCAGTTTACTCACTTATTGTTAAGTTTATAGTTTAACCGTTAATTTTAGGGGCTATTTCCAAAAATTTTAAAAAGACGTTTGATAATGAACTATGAAGGATTAGTTGTGAATCTTACCTAGTTGATGTTAACATTATTCATTGGACGTTAAGCTTATAACATAATTGTTAAGTTTATACAATGGATATTAATTTTGAATGTTAAGTGCTAAGTATACCCATTGGTTATTGACTTTAGGGTATAATTGTTAAGTTCATATATTATATGTTAGAGTAATAAATTATTATTAAATTTTAGTCTAAGTTATCAATTTTACTGAACAAGTGTTGGCTAAACTCTTAAATTGTTAAAATTTAACTTTGTTTATTTGGCTTTTTTTAATTTTAATAAACTTAACAACTAATAAATATCATTGAAATCTATCTGTTAAAATTCATCATAACGTTAACTACTACAACATAAACTTAATAGGTATACCATAATCTTAATAGGTTCATCATAACCTTGACATGTACACCACAATCTTAACTAGTACGACTTAACAAGTACGACTTAATTTTAGCATCTACGACATAACCATAATAGCACTACTTAACCTTAACAGATACTAAAAAATACTCTAGAAGGAGGGTGAATAGGGTTAATGCTAATCTAATTTGATATTAATGAAAATTAAAACTTATTAATAAATATATCCTAGCAAGATTGATATATAATGAATTATTTGCAAGGATATGTAAACTAAGGGCAAATAAAAATGAAATGATATAAACAAGATAGTGGACAAATGAGCAATCCAAACACAAGAAAAATGATCACGAAGTTAGGTCCTTCCGACCTACGTCTCCGCTCCCCACTCCCGGGGAGAATCCACTATCACAATGGGTTTTCGATGTTCACCCAAAACGTTCAATCGGTTTTCTACGCTTACAGACAAACATTTACAACTCATACTTGTAACTACATAAATACCGACCTTAAGTGTTGGCCTCTCACGTGTCACCTTCCTCAAGTATTCAAAATTACCACCTCTCCCTCAGCTTTACTACTGACCCCACTCCTCTTGGAACCGACCACGTCTCTCACCTCTACACTCCTCTTAGTGTACTTGTGTAATACAAGTAATTCTCACAATAAGGCTCAAATACAAATAATTTGTTCTCTACAATAGATGAGAACTACTCTCAAAAATACCCTCACCACAACCCAAAATACACTCAATGTGATAATACTAAAAGCTCAATGGTTGTGTGTGTAAACAATGAGAAATAACAAAATCAAATGTGAGAATCTCCTATCCTCAAGCTCCCATGAGGATCGCTAAGCTCCTGAAGAGAAGATACACCCGAATCAACCTTACACTCCTCTTGGTGTACTTGTGTAATATGATCTCACAACAAAGGCTCAAATACAATTGTTTGTTCTCTAATACAAGGATGAGAACTAAGTGTAAGCTCACTCACAAAGATACACTCACCACAACCCAAAATGCACTCAATGTGATAATACTAAAAGCTCAATGGTTGTGTGTGTAAACAATGAGAAATAACAAAATCAAATGTAAACTCAATATAAATCTAGCTTGATGAAAATGATG